TCCATTGTCTTTGTATGCTGCAGTTGCTTCCATTGCTGAGAATTTTAGAATATAGATTTTAGTGGCTAATTTAAGTCTTTGGTCCATTTCTGTGAAATAATATGCCTACTATTAACATTTTAAATTATTTAATGATTTTTTGCATAACCTATTATCCTTTGAGAGGGCCAGTGTAGTTCTCACTGTTAGTTGGTAATGAAAGGTAAACTGACTCAAGTTTTATTGCTGTTACTGAGAGCTTGAGTTTCCATTGCAAATACTGCGGAGGAGTATTTAAGATGAAGTACTCTTTTATTCACAGCAATACAATTTTGCTATTTAATGTTTCTCTTTTATCATATGTTTTGCAAAATGCTGTTATTTCTTCTTAGAGTAGGATTTGAAAGTAGACTTGGGGACTGAAGTCACGTATAAGAGCTTTTAAAGAGATCACACTGGCTAATGTTTCATAGCTCCGAATCTTTAAAGATAACACAAACAACAATTAAAGTATTCAGGATGCCAGGAAGGAAGACTGCAAAATTAATTTTTAAAAGTTGCATAGGAAATTTACTATCAAAACCTGTTTTGTTTCCATAGAATTTTGTTTCAGTATTTTGCCAATCTCCTTTACTATGTCATACAGTTTTGTGTAGGCTTTAAAATTTGTGTTGAATTCTGCATAAGATGTTCATCTCCGTAATAAGACCATTAGTGATACTGTGGTGAGGCAAACTCCAACGCACATGAATAGGAAATTTTAATCCAAACCAAAATTGTGGAATGAAAAAAAATGATTTTTTTTTTTTTTGAGATAGAAGCATATTTACAGTGTTTCTCCATCAGTTCTTTATTTTTCTCCATAGATGTAGTGCCTGTGTGAGTGTGGGGTTTCTACAGAACTTGCATTCCTTACTTTGGCATTGCAGCAGCAGGATGTTGCAGCTACTGCAGTAGTTTATAAGGGCAGATATAAACGATTTTTTGAAGCCTGCTCAGCAAAGTTCAGGAAAACATACTTAAATCTCAGTGATCTGTGCCCCTTCATTGGGGGAGAGGGGCAAGGGGAAGAATAGAAATTGCACTTGGTTTTGGATCTAATTGCCTATATAACCTAATTTTGCGTTTTTCTAATATTTTCCTGCAGGCTGGTGTTTCACAGTCAAAGAGTTAATAGAGCTGCAGCTGACCTTGCTGAGTATTTTTTTAATTACTTGTAAGGTTAGTGGTGGCTTTGTACTTTCTAGGATGACAATTACAGCTTGAGGAGCTTATAATCTAAGAGATACTTTGTATCAAGCATTTTACAGAGATCTGGGTTAGGCATCCTGGTACTGAAAGTGCAGGAACACAGAGTCAAGAGCAGAAGAACAAGAGGCCACTCACATGCTGTTCTCTTTTACACACTACAGGTAGGAAGAGTCTATGAATTAAGATTTTTCATTAAATAGATGTCCTGAGTTCAGCTGTAACAGTTATTTTTCTCCTTAGAAGCTGGTACAGTGCTGTGTTTTTGACTTTAGTATGAGGACAATGCTGATAACACAGGGATGTTTTAGTTGTTGCTAGGTAATGCTTACTCCCATCAAGGACTCTTCAGTTTCATGCTCTGCCGGTGAGGAGGGGCACCAGGAAGCTGTGAGGGAGCAGAGACAGGACACCTGACCCAAACTGGCCAAAGGGTGGGCTGCATTTCACTTTGGTTAAGTAATGCACCTAACAGCAGAACCTGTTTGTGATCCATCAAAACTTCTTAGTAAAGTCCCCCAGGTACTGCCCAAGCCTCTGTACCATCCTTTTTGGAACAACCATTCCTGCACATTGGTTGATCTTTTGGAAGGGGAGAAAGAAAAGGACATTAGCGCATGTGTGGCACCTAAAATGGTATCATCTCTTGAAACATGATGCCTGTAAGTAGAGTCTCTGGGATATTAGGTGATGGCTTGCATGGAATACTTGCTTCAGAGGCAGTGGCTGGGAAATATGCCAGCATTTGGTGAAAAAGCTTTCCCAATTCTTATACTGCTTCCATTTAGGAACTTCAGGTGTTTTAAAAATATTGACTGTTTTTTCAGTACTGCCTTGCTATGTAGGTAATTCTTGCGGTAACCACTTCTTTGTTGTCTGAACACGGGATGTGGAGCAGGAACAGGATGGAATCAGTAGGAGTCCATGATCTCGTTGCCCTGTTGTTTCTGCTTTCATACCCTGTCGTATCTTCTTGTTCTAAGTTCAGCCCTGAGTAAACTTACTTTTTTTTTTTTTTTTTTTTGTATTTTGAGATTAGCTGCTTTCAAATACAAAATTATTTAATCACTGAATTGTACTTCAGATCAAGAAAGCTGTATATAGTATTGCTTTAGCCATGCAATAGCAGCTTGGTAACAGCGGGGTTTTTTTGTTGGATGCTGGCCTTTACAAAGTCGTGTCAGGAACCCTCCTGTATCTGTAGCAGTGCTGTGGACTTTTTATTATGCCTGGGTATTATGGAGGTTCTCACAAAAAACATTAAGAAATCTATTGCCTGAGATTTCTGCAGTAGCTTTGGTTCTTATATTTTTAGTTTGCTAAAGAGAGAGGGTGGAACAGCAGTGTGTAAGATCAGAATTAGATGCAGATTGTCTCCCTAATATGATTCTTGTTAGCACAGATAATATGAGTACCGTTTGGAGAACAAATGGATTATGGAAAAAGAAATTAAAACATCCAGATCCTGAGCATTTGGAAAGCATGACACTGATGTATTTGTGTAACCTTTTCATGAAGAGTGATGCTGAAGTCAAAGAGGGGATTTTGATTTCCTTCATTAAAAGCTTATTAAATGAAGAAATAGGACAGTCGTCGTTTTGCTTCAATAGTTAGGGGTCACAGAGGCGGGCCTGATCTCCTCAGGATATTAATGCCTGCTTTCAGCTGGGGGAAATGAGCCGTCGCTTGAGTTAGCTGCAGCTTTATGTGCTCGTCACTAGGGATCCCCATATGTCCTGGGATCTGCGGCACTCGGAAATGGCAGAGCTCGGCAGCAGAGAGCAGAGGGCTCTCATTGCTATTCATAACAGGTAGCTTGGCTCAATCTGCCCAGAGCCAAGTCTGTTTAATGTTGATCAGCTGTCCATCTGATAAACCGAATTGATACGGACATTTCCTCCAAGGGCTACCCTGACAATGACAGCAGGAGCATCGGGATGTCTTGTTAGTCTTTTTCTCTGAGCTTGAAATTTTATTAACCTTTTGTTAGAGCTGAATGAAATGTGATTACAGTACTGTGTCTGTAGGTTGTGGGAGTTTCTCTCTAGCCTCCTTGAAAAACAGCATCAACCTTAGCTTTATTGTCTACATGGAGAATGGCTGGCTGTTTTGTTTTCAGATTGTTTTTCTCTACGTGGAGCAAAACTTGTGAATTATAAAGGCAGTTTTAAAAACAGCTTAAGTTTCCATGTGTGTGTGTGATAAAATATGTTCGGAACCTCTGTTTATCCTCTTGTCCCAGCTCATCTTCCTTTTGCATGCCTGCCTAGGCTCTACTAGCTCTTCCCTCTTGCTAACAGGCACAGATCACTGGCCTGAAACAGTTACTGCTGGGGTTCTTTGCAGGTCAGAAATATTTGGGGCAGAAGGTTACTTTAAATTAGTATCATTTGGGATGGTTGCAACACATCTTCACTGTCCAGAGAAAACAGTATTAATTTACTCAGTACTATGCTGGTACTGAGGCAGAATCTAAGCTGTGAGCAGGTATATGTGTATGTGAAGGTATGGAGCAGTTTGGTTACTCAGCTCCTGGTTGCTTTTGAATAGGCACAGGCAGCATAATATACCTTTGTACTAGCTTGCAATTTAATTTGAGTTTTAAGGCCTTTTAACCATTTGTCTAGTTGAGGGCATGCATTGAATTTCTGCTCATATGTGAAGTCTCTATGACATAAAGGGAACTGCTTGAGTCAGAAAACATGTGAATGTGCTGAAAATTTCCTGGGGGGAAAGTCTGTGTGTGTCTAGGCTTGCAGCATTAAGAGGATGCTCCAGTTGCTCTGTTCCCCCCTCCACTTGTCCCTGCTCAGTTATTATGTCTGTTCATTGCCCTGTTGTAGTTCTGAGCTAAGGTGACATCTCTGGGCTCCTTGGAGTGACAGTCACTATCAGGGTCTACAGGGTTGAATTGTGGCGGGACAGGGGTAGGAGAGGGTTGTGCTAATGACTCTTGTCATGCCTTTTCCAAAAATGAAAATAAACAGAGGGCAAGCCTCTACGGGATAACCTTTGTGGCCAGCTTCTCACAGGGAATTGAACCTCTAAATTCAGGATGTGGTGCAGTGTGTGTTGGAATAAGAAGTGATTTGTAAACCTATTCAAATAAAATTTGTTCTGTCCCTTTGCTGGACAATCACCTCTGCTTCTCCTGACTAAAACAACCAGTGAAATATCATTAGTACATAGTTTTAAAATGTTCAGCTGTTTCCCCTGTTCCCCGTGTGCCTCTCCCTTCCCCTACCCTCCCCCCCGCTATTATTGAACTGCAAGATATCCTGTTATTAATTTAAGTCTAATTTGAGCAGTCATTGACTGCAGTGTTCTTATGGTGTTCAGATCAGCCTGCTTGTGACTCCCCTGCTGATTGTTCTTTGTTCCTTCCCATCAGTTCTTTTTGCTTGGCAGTTTCTTCATATTAGTGTCCCTCAAGCTTCTAGAATACAAAACAAAAAAAAAAGCAAAAAGCACCATGACGACTGTATTGATTACTTAACTTTATTTTGTGAAGAATTCAGACAAAGGGCAGCTCCAAATGGAACCTGTGGTACCTGCAGCTTACCTGGAAATAACACAGTGATAGTTCTCTGCGTTTAACACCTTCTGGCTGTGGCTTCTGGAAGTGCACAGAACTACTTGATAATGCATAAAACATCTGTTTAGCACATGCGGTTATTTTTTGTTTGTTTTTTTTGGTGGGTTTTTGTTTTCCCCTAAGAATATATATTGTATTGATAGTATCAAAAATAAGTGTACTTTTTCTTTGCTTTCAGTCAAAGAAGTCTGGCTGAGATTACAGAACTGATCCACACTGCCTTTCTGGTGCATCGTGGCATAGTGAATATTGGTGAGCTCAAGTCCTGCGATGGCCCGCTGAAGGATATGCAGTTTGGAAATAAAATGGCTGTTTTGAGTGGAGATTTTCTTCTAGCAAATGCTTGCACAAGTCTTGCACAGTTGCAGAATACTAAGGTAAAAAGAAAAACAATCTTCTACTGCCAGAGCAAGTAACTATTAGTAACCCTTCTGAAGGAGAGGCCCTTTAAAAAATCAGCAGTTATGATATGTCTGTATATATGGAACATCCTTTAAAAATCAGCATACTTACATTATAGCTCTAGATGGGGTGACAAGCTGCTGCTGCTGTGAACGCGTTCACCACTGTCCTATAGGATTACTGTGATGATGTCTTCAGTATACATTCTGAAGCACTGTAGTAATGGATGAGTGGATCATTTGGTGAATTTAATGTATATCTGGTGGCATGCTCATGACTACACCACCTCTGGCAGATTGCTAGCTGAAGACATGTTTGGTTTGTTATTTTGTTTTACCTTGTGCTTTGTGAAAGGCTTGTCAGTCTTAGGGAATTCTTGGGGGAAAAGGTTTCATTGCTTTGTCTACACAACACTCAGGTGACTTTTTACTCTTAATAAAATTACGTTGTTAGGCATTTGGATGCCCCTGAATATTGGATTGCCGTATTAATGTGGATGTACTGGCTTCTAAAGGGCAGCTGTAATCCAGCTGCTCAGCCAAACTGTTTGAAACTTTACAGGGAAATGTTTTTCATGACAAACAAATCATATATATGTATGATCTTAAAAAATGAGACAGCTGGCGACCTTAAGAAATCATTTTCTAGTTGGTTCTTCTTTTTCACAGATAGGATCAGCTACACCAAATCATTCTTGATATGTGTTTGTCTAGCTTGATCTTAAAACTTCCGATGGTGGAGATAGATTCCTGGGCAACCCTGTGCCAGTCTAGAGTAACACCTAACTATGTATATGGCTGAAGAACTTAATGTGCCATCCTAGTGGAAACGGAAGACAGTTCTTATTAGCAGGGGTGCTCTTTATACATCTGAAGATTGCTGTACATCCTAATGTAAATAAATGTTTGTCATGCCTTCAATTGTCAGTAGTCAACATAATTTTAATTCTGAGCTTAAGGAGTCTGTGTTTTTAGATTCTCATGCTAAAGCTCCTCGTGATGGTGGTTGAGTATTTCTGTACTGCTTTGATCATGAGTGTGACAGTTTCTTTCAAAAGTGGTGTCATTTTGTAACACAGAGCTGAGATTCTGGAGAAGAGACAGAAAATTAGATGTCAGTCTGCTGGAATAGTGAGTTAAGCCTTTATGGTGGTAACTGGTAGTAAGTATTAGGAAAAGTTCTAAATAGTGCAAAAATTTCATCATTCCATAACCAAAATGGAGTGCAATTGGTCTTACTAATTATTGCTGATTTGTACCTGTTCATTTTAATTTTTTTTTTTTTATGCTTAATAAGATTCTTAAGATGGGGCAAAGGATTTAACCCTACATCAATTTTTTGTTTCAACGTAAGAGGAAACTTATAAAATGTCACACCTATAACTTTGCATTTAGTACATCATTAACTATTGCAACAGGAATGTATAATCCCTGAAGGCTTGCCAGGAAACAAGCCTACAGTGAAATGAAGCACAAGTGCAAAGATACACTTTTTTTTTTCCCCCTGTTCTTTTTTTTTTTTCTTTTTTTTTTTCTTTTTTTTTTTTTTTTTTTAAAGCAATCATTATACCGCGTGTTGGAAAATTCTGCCAAAACATTTTAGCACTTTTTTTCATTTTTCTGACATCTAAATACTTTCATAGCTTCTACATACGATAAGTGGGATGCCATTATGGAAACTGATTGACTTAGTAAATTATTCTTTTTCATACATCTAACCCTAGTAGCAAAGTTAGAAAAATTGAAGTATAAGCTATAGAAATCTCTTGACAGGTGCAATGATTTAAACATACTGTATTTATTCTTTTGTAAATGATGAATTTTCAAATCTGGCATCTGTTTTTCAGCAGTGTGAAATAACTGTGACTTTTTTCCTTCATAATGTTTTGTTTTCTTTGATGTAAAAAGCAAAAATCAGAGTACTGCTTCTTTGCTGGCATTTACTTGATAGCTCAGCAAATTGGCTAATGAAATGAGCAGCGTTATATCGTTACATGCATGGTATTGACCATGGTAGGCTGTAACCTCTATTGACATGCATAGCTGTTGTATAGACTAGAATTTAAAATAAAAGGAGGTTTAACATTAACTGAACCAAGATAATTTTATTGTGGTGTTTAACTCTAGTCTGAGCTTGTGTATGATGCATTTATCTCTGTGCTTCTCTCGGGGCTGACAATTAGATGTGAAATTCTGTAGTCGTAATGAAATGCAGAGCTATTTTATAATTGCCAAGGGTAAAATTAGCAAAGTCAATTATTTTCCCTTAGGCTTTTCCCTGTAGATATTAAAAGGCTGCAAGGTAATTGCCTTAGGTAACACTTTGATTTTTAAATAACATTAAATATAGGAATTGTTGTTGTTAATTCGTAGTAATTTTCCTCTTGCTACTGTTGTAGAATATATCTGTAATGATGTTAACAAGGTTTGAGTCTCAGAGCTTGTGTTTTTGGGGGTTTCTTTTAAACTAGTGCTCATACTTCTTCTATGTTACTGAAGTTGTGCAAAAGAAGGGTTGGGGTATTTTTCTGTTGTGGTTTGGGTTTTTATTTTAATATCTGAGCCTAAAGGACTCCAGATTTCTTGAAGCGTCAGTTAGGAAGCCTCCTGTAAGCTAAATTCTGCTGTTGTACTATTATAAAGTCATCCAAAATTTTGTTTTCTGAACATGCATAATAATTCAGAAGAAATTCTAATTTCCTACTTTGTGAAATTATGAGGCATTAATTATGATTACGAAGTTGGCATTGACTGTGGTTTAAAATAAAAAACTGAATGGCAGATGCAAATGCGTGTTGCATTTCTGTAATTATGGCAGAGTTCTACATTTATTCAGATAAAAACTTTAAAGTGAACATTAATTTCTTCAGAAACCTTTTACAGCTACAAAGCATTAGATTGATCAGATCACATATACTTACAATTCTTTTGTACATACGTGTTAATATTTTGATCACCTTATATAAACTATCCTTTTTGTATTTTTTCGTCTACTTTGTATTTCGGATGGTGGCTTTTCTTGGCCTGCTGATTGTGGTGATAAATTATGTTTGAAGATAATATGGATAAAAATCTTATTTCAGAGCTGCATCCTGTAGTACACTGTATATTGCTAATCCATGGATTTTAGTACAGAATTGAGCCCCAGGATGAATTGGTTGGGATCTTTTAGTAGATGGTCTATCAGCAGTGGGTTTAGGAACAGTGGGCCTTTGACAAGTAAAGGCATATTTGGTTTTTGCTACTGAAATAGTAGTAATGCCTGGTAATGTGCTGGTTTATTGGGTTGGGGTGTGTTTATATGGGATGATATTATTTTGAAAATTTTTCTCATTTTGAGGGTGCAGTGTTTTGGTACCAGGATTGTAATAAGGTATTTGTAAAAGTAATCATAAACATGTAGATGTGGGAGAGATGGAAAAGCATGTTTGCCTAACAAAATAGGCTACCTCCCAACTATCCTGTGGGATATGTGGCCATATGCAGTTTTAAATAAATACGTGAATAAATCATTAAGAAGTGTAAAATTATATGTTTAACTGTTGGTTCTTTGTTGCTGTCAGAAGGTACCATGTCTTTAACATTTGTTATCTTGCTTTGCTTAGCCAAGGGTTTCGGGATGAAACTGCTAACAGCAACTTTTGTCGTATGGAAGTCCTTTGACTCTGGTCTGGTGATATTCAGATGCAAACACAGCAAATGTAATAAGCATTAATTGGCGTTTCTGTCATCTGTCAGACAGATAAGTGATATGGACATTATAACACAAGTGATGTGTGAATATTGACTGTGATACTATCAAGTAATGTGCTTTTTCGGTGTATATCACAGATAAATTGGAAGAAACCTTTTGCTTCCTAGAGTATTAGAATCATCAGTTGTCTTACTGAAACTACAGAGGTGGTGCATAAAAGATGTAATTATTACCGGTTTTGATCCTCCTGTACTTGGAAGACAGTGATACATAAAACTTCAGAAGGATGAAATTATGCATTTTAGTGCAATCCCTACTGTAATTTGCTGATGACTAAAGAAAATGATAAAATAATATGTAAATTTATTGCTTGCAACTCCATAAACTGGTAGGAAGGCATCTTTTGTATTTAAAAAAAAAAAAAAAAAAGAAAAAAAAAAGCCCACAAACCAACCAATCAAAACCAAATCACCAGAAACAACATATCCAAACAAAAAAATAACCCACCTCCCCCCAAAAAAAGATAAAAGAAAAAAAAGCAAGCCTACCCCAAACCCCTGAAATACATGCAATGATAGTGTTCTCCATAGTTCTTACTGAACCCTGAAGCATGACTATTTTCCCACTATAATTCGTTGAGCTATCGTTGGAGTGATTAAACTATTCACAGAAGTGCTTCAAAATCTACAGCCTGAAAGCTTGGAATTGAATTTAAGAATCTCATCTATCAATGCAGAACTCTGCCAGAAGACTGTATTATAGAGCATTGTTTTATTAAGCATTTTTTGTTTATAAATAAACAGTAGCACAGGTGTAGTACTTATATAGTGGATGCATTTCCTTATGTTAAGTTTATGTATTCTTAAAGGCATAAATGTGTTGTTTGCCAAATAGGCCTTGTGTTCGCATAAACATCAACAAGTTAGTCATGTAAATCTTCCTATGTCTTCCTATTGCAACAATCTGAATGTACCCTGTACTTCATAAAAGAATTGCTTGATCTTCAACTATGGTTTCTACTTCTGGTTCATCAGTTGTCCTATTGGGAAGGCTGTTCTGAACTTGAGTGATTTGGTTCCTTGCTGACCAATGAAGGATATGGAGAACATCTCCTTTCTGGAATTACGCCTGTTGCTGTTTTGATGTAAATTGACATTTTTGAGAACTGACAAACAAGTAAGCTAGAATCTATGCAATTTTAATTTTTAAATGTCATTTAAGAAAAGTAGTACTTGTGCCACGCTTTCTCTTGCCCTGGATGATGTCAAGAGAAGAACATAAT